GTGCTCTACATTGAAAATTACGTGTCTTGTAAGCCTCCACTTTGAAGACTAAGGATCTTGTAAGCCTCTACTTTGAAGACTACGTGTCTTGTAAGCCTCCACTTTGAAGACTAAGGGTCTTGTAAACCTCTACTTTGAAGACCAATCTTACAACTGTATATTTATCATTTGTACCTGTCAAAGACTAAAATGACTTGCATTTGTTCAATACTCACAAGGCTAAAAAGAACAGAAAAATTAAAAACATAATTCTCAAAGTGAAAGGTTTTACCTCTCTGCATAAGTTTTCCAAGTCAGCACCAGAAAATAACTGTGTATTTTCGGCTAGCCAGGTTAAGTCGCAGTCCATTACAGGCATGTTCTTTGTTAATACTTTTAGGATCGACTTCCTTCCCTAGGAGGTTAGAACATTAACTTATTGATTACTTGCACTTGGACCTCACATTAATGTTTTTGCTTTCAGACAAAATTTTTAAAAGCTGTCTTAAAGTGACAAATCCAAGTTTAGCCTTGCATTCTATATGTTGCTCTGTATTACAGAATTGCTATATGATGACATTATCCATTTAGAGAAATAATATCCACGAATACTTCAATCATACACATTTCATGTTTTAACGTTGCATCCAACTCTACAGTATGTATACGTGCATCTGTAACATGTTATAACGTAAAAACTTGAAATCAACTTATGCACGAGTTGAGTTTGTTCGTGTAAAAAAGTTAATATACCCTCACACAGATGCACTGATCTCATAACATATAGGCAGGGGTGATAAAAATTACTGTATTGTCTTCATACACTATAATACATTTGTTATTCATCTGTGATTTACAGTAAAGTATGACTGTCTTTATTCAAGATGACATAAGTTAATGGTTCTCATCATGATGGAAACCATAAGATAGTCTATGAATAGTGTGACAGTACCTTTTTTCTAGCTTAAAATCATGTTTATATACTCATGACAATGAGTGTGGAGCAAACACAAGACTGCTCCACTCCTTGGATAAAGAGTGAGGGGTCGTGTCCCCCTCAAAGCTTCATTTATGGATATAAAAAAAAAAAGTTTCTTTCCACAGTTAAGGAAACACAAACGTTAATATTAGACAAGATCAAAAACTAACTTATTGTCTTCATCCATAGTTTTAATGAAAATGTAGAACACTTTAAATCTTTTTTTTAAAAAGAAAGGTATACAAGTCACCTGCACGTCTGGTGGAGGAACGTAAATGATCACATCGAATCTTCCAGGCCTAAGTAGAGCTTCATCGACAAGGTCAGGACGATTTGTTGCAGCAACAACCAAAACATCATTATTATCTACAGATAACTCAGATTTCTGAAAAAACAACGACAAAAAACCTAAGTAATTAAAGATACTTTAAACTGTTGTTACAGGTA